CTGAAAAAGCAACAAAGAAAATAAAGTAAGAAAAAAAAAAAAAATTTTTTTTTTATTCTCATTCTTTGAAGATGGATTCTCCTATTCTAGGAAATGTAATGACACTTAAGTATTAACCATTATCAAGACGTTTTCATTTTGCTTTAAATATTGACTTTTCCAATTATTATTGTTCTCTTCTGTTTTTTTTTCAGAGTTGGTCTTTTCACCTTCTGGCTTTCTCTTTGATTAGTTTACCAGTGTAATAATAATAAAGACACTGCCACATGGCAGTGTCAGTGAAAAAAAAAAAAACAAACTCTTGTATAGTAAAACACAGATGCACACACACTGTATGTGGGAGGTTTATTATATAAGATTGGGATAGAGGCATGCTGTGGTAATGGATATTGGCTTAGATTGGGGAGTCGAAGAGCCAAGTTTGAATTTCTGTTGAGTCCATTACATTCACTTACATGCTAATGACCTTAGGAAAGGTATGAACCCATCTCTTATTCCCCTGCTATGGGTTGAATAACAGGACAGACTGGATCCTATAGCTTTGAGGGACAGCCAGTCTACAAGGAGGACAACTCTAAATTCAAAACCTGTGGAGAGTTGTTTGGGGGCCCTCTGGCATATTGTGCACCAGTTCTCCGTATTTGGCTCTTCCAAAAAGTGTTGTTGGTTCTGCACAAGTCTTCATCATTATAATCAAATGATATATGTGGGTAGTGTGGCTGTTTGTTCTAAGAACTCAGCTGTTTGACTCTCATATGGCAAAAAAGATGAGAGAATCCAGTATATAATACACAGAAGCATGGTATATGATATAACAAGACAATTTCCTGTGGAATAATTATCAATGAATTTCATTGAAATCATTACTGAAAATAAATTCCTTTCAGTTTAACTTCACATTGATTAGCAACAGAATAAATTTTGCCCAATAATCACTTGGTTTTTGTTATCATATATCAGATCACATGCTACTTCAGTGAAATAAATCTTATGGCCATATCATGTTGAAACACTAGTTCCTGTACAATCACCAAAGTTAAGCAATGTTGAGCGTGAACAGTACCCAGATGGGTAACTGCTTGGGAATGTGTAGGTGGTGTAATGGATAATGGTTTGAAATTGTTAATTGGAGAGCAGAGCTCCAATTGGGTTCATTTTATTCCCCTATGCACAAATACTCTTGAGAAAGGTATGAATCCAGCACTTCTCTCCACTAGCCATAGGTTAATTAATAAGACTTGTATCACTAAACCCTTATTATCTTGGAAAAAAAAAAAAAAAAAAAAAAAAAATTCTAACAAACTAAAAATATTTTCTGGCTTTAAATAACCTGTAATGGGTTGGTAACGAATCAATCAATTCAGTGAAATAAAGAAAATTAAAAAGTATGTTGAAATTACTGGCCATCCCATAATTGTCCTTGTCTCATTAAATAAGTTTCTTTGTAAATTAGTCTTGGAGACAAACTATAAGAATTCCTGTCAATTTGGTGTTTACCATTTCTAATTTTCAGCAAGAACTAATTCTAGTTCTAAAATTACCATTAATTACATTTGGCTAATTCTAGTTTTCTATTTAGCTTTTGTAGTAAACTATGTCAGGGAGGGGGGGCTCTGGATAGAGGTAGTACCTTTGATATCTGGCACACTGCACCTTCAGGTGGACAGGTATCAATGGTCTTCAACCATCTAAATCTATCACATGATGGCTCCAAGTTGCCATACCCCAGTAAACCATTTCAACCGGTAGGCTAAACTCTCATGAGGAAGTGGTATTAACATGGCACCACTGGACAATGACCACAGACACAGGAAAGAAGAGTTCCCCAGATTAAATACAACAGCCACGTGTTCATGACCAAAGCAAGCCACCAAGTTGGATGACATCAGCTGTGGTCTAACCTGAAGAAGGATGGGTCCCACCAGGTTAAAACACCCAAGACATGTCACATGATTAGCACACCAAGAAACCATTTGTGGAGACCCAGGCTCTGGCACATGATCCAGATCCCACTTTCCCAAAAAACTATCACTAAGGGGGCACTTCTTAAGCCTATAGAAAAGTGTGCATTCTTCTCCCTGGCCGCTTTTACAGCATTTTAGTTCCGGCCTTTAGTGGTTGCATGTGGGTAAAGTGCACCAGACCCCTCCATCACCACTGGGGCACATTCATTTTCAGGATTTTCTCTCTTGACTTTTGTACTCTATCAAACACACTTGTTACACACACAAACAAATACATTCTTATAGCTTCTTTCATGTTTTTTCATTTCATCACATGTAATTCCTAGTGTAAATAAATGCATTGTCATTTGTTTTATATTTATTATTTTGTCGTAGACCACACAGACTCACATTGATTCTGCTAATATTGTTTCTGTGACAAATTTTCCAGGAGCCCGTAAATATTTACTCTCCAAAGTGCTGATTCCTACAACATAATGGTAAAACTAGCAACACACAACAGACTACTACTGGGGTGTCTGTAATAGAACTACTGTTGGTCAATGACTATGAAACTTAAAAAGGATGCACTGCATGCTGTACACTCCATTGACTGATGGCCTGAATAGTAATAGAGATGAATTGAGATGTGATTTGATACAATGTTCCTCTTGCTAGGTGATTACTTCCCTTGATAGTCATATCTAGTAGCAATCTCATATCACTTTTGAACAGCCAGTTTCAAAAAGCCACTAACATCTGCCTGGATTCTATATTTCTGGTATAAGCTTGCCCAAGAAAAACTTGGGCGACAAAGTGTCCCCCATTTTTCTTGCCCCAACAATCATTCTGCAATCAAATAGTGTTAAATACTATTTGTGTTAAATTCTTGTCACAGCTACACTACCTCTTTGCATCATTCAGCTGAGTCCATTTCTACAGGTGGAGAGTGGGGGGGGGTGTTAAAAAAACATCTAGTGTACTGATGTTTGAGATTTTGAGGACTCCACTCAAATTAAGCTTTTCAGCCTTATTGAAAACAGTTCTGTTATATTCTGTGCTAATAGGAATATGAAATGGGCAAACATGGTGGATAAATAGTAACAGGTTTATTGTAGAAAGCAGTATAACAAGCAAGGAATAATAGTTATGCGCACGATCGTTGCAAGTCAGTACAGTTGTGTGCGTGCTGCTATCGGAAGGCCACTAGCCTCGCACATCCCAGCTTGACTCTCTCGTTCGCTGTTCTAACAGATACTTATATGTGGTTACCACCTATAGTGCCGCCACTACATGGAGGTGGCAGGTTATTCCATTACATCACTTCCCCAAGAGCTGAAATTTTCCTCTAGAAAATTTGGCTTTTTAATACCTCCTCTTTTTTGGATCTGGGCTTAACCACGCTGTTGGTTTTCTTTTTTGAGGAGAATGACATTTTGTTTCTACAGGCAAAGCTGGTGTAGGAGATGTATCCAGGTGTTCTGGTATGTAAGTGGGTGGTACTATTTTAAACATTTTGTACAGGACATCCATAGGAATTTCTTCGTCATCCTGTTGAATGGTTTCTGAATATCTAGGTCTTAATTGGTTTATATGCCTTTTGCATACCCATTTTTTCCCTTTTAGCATATAGATAACTCTTCCAATTCTGTTTAAAATAACACCATGCTCCCAAAAACATTTTAAACCTTGATAGTTCCTAAAGAAAACTTTATCCCCAGGCATATATTTCTTTGTACAGAATTTCTCTTTTTTACGTATATTTGTTTTTTTGTACAAGGCAACAATTTGTCGAATATCGACCTTATTTTTCTTGCAAACATCAACTCAGCAGGTGACGATTTTGCTGTATTGTTTGCATTCGGTGTTACCCTGTATACTGCTAAGAATTTCTGTATAGCTTTCTCCTCTGTGTCTACCCCTTGATTTTTTCTTTAATGCTCATTTGAATGTGTCAACAAATTTTTCTGCTTGTCCATTTGATTTTGGGTGGTAAATTGGAGTTGTGACATGTCCAATGTCCAATGAAGCACAGAATTCTTTGAATCCTTTACTTGTAAATGCAGTTCCATTATCACTGACCAATGTCCGAGGAACTCCGAAGCGGCTGCAAACTTTGTCTAAAGCACTGATAATATTTCTAGAAGTTGGGTGTTTGTATTTAAAAACTTCTGGCCACTTCGAGAAACTATCCACAATGATCAGGTAATAATACCCATTAAAATCCTGCATAATCAATGTGTAGATGTGTCCAGGGGATATCTGTTTCTGGCCAAGGTTGTGTTTTAACTGGTGGTGCTCTTGCAGCTAACTGACATCTGCATTTTTTCACAAAATTTGACGTCTGTATCCATTTGAGCACAGACAACATAACTTCTCATAAGAGATTTCATACAAGATATGCCAGGGTGACCCTTATGAAATTCTTTTAAGATCTTTTTATGTAATGCCTATGGCATCACCACTCTGTCTGCATACATTAGCGGATCTTCGCAGATGGAATAAGGAGAAATTTTAATTCCCTTTTTACTTCTTTCATTTATCCTGGCTTGCATTTTCATATTTTTAATAAAATTATCATTTTCTGCTGCTTTCCTTATGTCTCCCAGTGTCACCGATAGCTCCTGAACAGTATTACACAGCAAATGTGATATTTCTTGTTTGTCCTTTAAAGCTGCAATTACAGTTTCTTCCAAAATTTCATTATGTTTTGGAATCAACCTTGATAGTCCATCTGCATGACCCAAATTTTTAGAGATGTACTCCATTTTAAAATGGTAATTCAACAATGTTACACCCGACCACTGTAATCGGTTTGCAGTATGAGTTGGAATGCCCTTCTTTGATCTAAAAATGGTCAGTAACATCTTATGGTCAGTTTGTAGTGTAAACACTATACTGTGAAGGAAACGATGGAACTTTTTAACTGTGAAAATGATTGCTAAGTTTTCCTTTTCAATCTGACTGTAATTCTTTTCTGCTGGCAAAAGAGTCCTTGAAGCGTGTGCAATTGGTTTTGTTGAACCATCTTCATATTTATGAAGAAGCACTGCTCCA